CTTTTTAAATGTGAAAATGTTATCAGTATTTATGACTTTCATCATTATTTGAACAGCTTGAAAGAAAGGCTTGGGCTGAGCTATGTATGATGGGGTGATTCTAAAAAAATAAAATTGTAAGGAGAGATTAAAAAGGAGCAATTATCTCATACAAATGAGGCATGAAAAGAAGAAATTGATACAAAAGAAGTAAGTGGAGGAGAGGGTGGGTAGTGCTGTAACCTTACTCTCCTCAGAAACAGGTTAAAGAGGGAACAACATATATATCAAGAAGGGTAAAAAAGTTTTCTAAATTTGGAAAGAAAAAAGAGCGCGAGGGGATAGGGTAGGGGAAAAAGATAAAGGTGGGATAAAGATAGAGGGGTACGTAGGTTAAAAATAGGAGGGAAAGGTAAAGGGTAGAATTAGAGGAGTGAGGAAGGATAGGGTAAATAGGGTGAGAAGGATAGTGAGGAAAAACAGGAAGGAGTGAAATACACAACAGGTGATTATAATTTAGAATGTGAATGGGATAAATTTATACATAAAAATGGATAGCGGATTAAAAATCTGAATTCAACAGTATAGCACTTTTAGGAAACACAATAAAAATGACAGATACACACAAAGATAAAATAAAAGGCTGGAGTAGAATTTATTATGTAAAAAAAGTAGGAATAGTAATGATCTCAGACATAGTGAAAGTTAAAATATATTTAATTAAAAGAGAAAAATAGGGAAACTATATTATGTGTCACCAATATTATTCAATATTGTTTTGGACCATTTAAAATAACTAGACAGCATAACATACCTGAGAAAATAACTGCCAAAATAGATACAGCAAATACATGAACATAAACACAAATAAAAGTAGATTTAAATAATTGGATTAATATTTATTGTTCATGGGTAGTGGATATATAAAGCCAATATAATAAAAATGGCTTAACCTAATATATTTATTCAATTCCATCCCAATTAAATTACTAAAAATTATTTTACTAAGTTAGAAAAAATAATAACAAAGTTCATTTGGAAGAACAGAATGTCAGGAACTTCAAAGAAACTAGGGGAAAAAGATATAAAGGAAGATTTGGCAATATCAGACCTTAAACTATATTATATGGCAGGAGCATTGTGAAGTGTAAAATGGATAATTTCAATAATTTTAAATTAAAATTTTCTTGTATAAATAAAACCAATGTAGCCAAGAATAGAAGAAATGCAGAAAATTGGGAAAAAAAACTTTCATAGACAATCTCTCAGAAATGATATGATTATGTTGGAATACTACTGTGGTGTAGGAAATGATGAACTGGACGATTTAGAAAAACATGGAAAGACTTGGAACTATGAAGGAAGATGCTATCCACCTTCAGACAAACAGATGACAGGTGAAAATAAACATCGTATGCTCTTACATATATGTATGAGTATATATGCATATATATGCATGTTAATAAGTATCTATATGTAACTATATGTATATTTATACACACACACATATATCTGTGTTTAATTGTAGCCTTTTCTAGGGCAGGGAGGAAAAAAAAATAAAGTAAAAAGTGTACAATAGAGAGCAAAAGAAAACCTAGAAGGAAGCAAAGAAAAGCTATGTAGCTCGGAAAACAATGTGTAGTGTTTATTATATAGGTTTTCTTGAAATGGAAATATATTGTTTTATATTGAATTCTCTCTTATGTTCTGCTGTGTACATTGAAATGTTCTTTTTTGTCTTTTCTCATGCAGAATAGTCTGCCTTGCAAGATTTCTCTGTTTAAGGCTGACTTCATAAAAACCTGGAAAGACTTGTATGGTCTGATGCTGACTGAAGTGAGCAGAACCAAGAGAACGTTGTACACAGTAACAGCCACGTTGTGCAATGACTAACATTGATAAACTTAACCCTTCCCAGCAATACAAGGATCTAAGACATCTCCAGAGGCCTCGTGATGGAAAATGTTACCCACATCCAAAGAAAGAACTATGGAAGTTGAATTGCTATTTTTTGTTCTTCTGTTGAGTTTTGTTTCCTCTTTCTGATGGTTCCTCCTATTGGTTTTAATTTTTACTTACAACACCATCAATGTGAAAATATGTTTAACAGGAATGTAAATGTATAGCCTATATCAGATTGTGTGCCATCCTGGGGAGGGTGATGGGGAGGAAGGGGGAGAAAATTTTTAAACTCAAAAGCATATAGAAGTGATTACTGATAAATCAAAATAAATTAATATAAAAAAGAAAAAAAGGATTTCTTTGTTTAGAGGTCTCCAAGCCCTAAAATCTTATTATTCTAGTACAGTACCTGCACAAAGATGAAACATAAGCACTGATGAATGTTTTTACAATCAGAGTTAAAAATGCTTAATAAATCTGGCTTTGGCAACAGCACTGGAGGCTGAAAGTATTATCTATGAGTTCACAAGCAAATAAAAATGTTGCCCAAAGCACTTATGATAAACTTGGCAGAAACCAAAAACCAAAGTTTCCACTTAATATACCTTAGTAGTATTTTCCCTTTCCTTCCAGTAGTTTCCGTCCAGTACAACAATGGCAAGTCCTATTTATTGTGAATGGTGAGGGGATAGAATTTTTTGGTTAAATGAATATGCTCATTCCTGGGTCACATGATTTTGAGCTGATATGTATGTTAAGAAATCACCTAGGCGTAGCTGGGTGGCACAGTGGATAGAGCACCGGCCCTGAAGTCAGGAGGACCTGAGTTCAAATCTGGCCTCAGACCAAACATTTGACACCTACTAGCTGTGTGACCCTGGGCAAATCACTTAACCTCGATTGCCTAAGGGAAAAAAAGAAAAAGAGAGAGAGAGAGGGAGATCACCTAGTTCATTGAAAACTACCATTCACAGATTTCCAATTTTCAGTCAATTAGAATTCAATGAGCTATGCAATCCTAAAAAAAAGTATTAGATATAAATTTCTTGTTCTATTATAATTTTGAAGTCATTTTCATATTTCATGGTCATTAATAATCATTCTGGAGTATAACAGATGTCATCCTTGACTCTTCACTCTCCCCTATACCTTCTCCCCTATATCTAATCAGTTGCCAAGTTCTCCACTATAATCCATCCTCTACTCAGCTGTCAAACTATTCTTCATAAAGTACAAGTATGACCATGTCACCATCCTATTCAGCGAACTCCAGTGGGCTCCTATTACCTGCAGGATCAAATATAAAATCCTCTCTTTGGCTTTTAAAACCTTTCAGAACCTAGCCCCTTCTTATCTTTCCAGTCTTCTTATTCCCCTCTACGTACTCTGCATTCCAGTGATATTGGCCTCCTTGTTTTTCCTCAAACAAGACAATCCATCTCCAGGCTCCATGTGTTTTCACTGGCCATCCTTCATGCCTGGAATTCTCTTCCTCATCTCTGCCTCCTGGCTTCCTTTAATTCTCAGTTAAAACCCCACCTTTTGTAAGAAGCCTTTCCTGACCCCCCCTCTGCTAGTGCTTCTCCTCTGTGATTATCTCCAGTGTATCCTGTACACGTCTTGTTTGTACATAATTGTTTATGTTTTGTCTACCCCATTGGATTGTGAGCTCCTTGAAAGCAGGGATCAGTTCTGCCTTTCTACGTATCCCTAGTGCTTAGCGTGGTAACTGACATATAGTAGGAACTTAATAAATACTTGTTGATTTGATTTTCATGCAGAGGCCATTTGTCACCTATTTAGGCAAGCCATTTTACTTTTGGACATCTTTAATTTGTAGCAAGTTTTTATCAACATCAAGTCTAAATTAACTTTATTGCAACTTCTACCAATTGTACATGGTACTGCCCTCTGTGGCCAGACAATCCCTCTTCCACATGACAACCTTTCAAATATTTGAACACAACTACCACCTCTCCCTTTGAGGATTCTTTTCTCCAGGTCAAACATTTCAAGTTCTTTCAGCCAATACTCATATATCTTGAAACTCAATGCCTTTCACCATCCTAGCTGTCTTCTCTTGGAAGCTTAATTCTCCATCTTATCAATGTTCTTGTGACACTCTGGTGCCCAGAACTAAATATAATACTCCAAATGAGGTTGAACAAAAGCAATGTACAGTGGGATGATCACTTCCCTGTATCTGGAAACTATACTCGTCCTAATATAGCCCAAGACTGCATTAGTTTTTATGACTACCACAGTACACTGATGACTTGTACTAAACCCCTAGATAATTTTTAATAGAGCTGTGGTTTATTTATGCTTCTCACATCTTATATTTGTTCAACTGGTTTTTCTGCACCCAAGAGCAAGATTTTATATTTAATCCCTAATGAATTCCATCTTATTTGATTAATTCCAATGCTCTAGCCTGTATGTGTTTGCTATCTCTCCTAGTTTTCTGATACTGAAAATTTGAAGAGCATACCATCTATTCCTTTATCTAAATTACTGATAAAAATGTTAAACAGCAGAGACCCAAGTACATTTCTCTGGGGTACTCCATTGGACATCTTCCATACTGACCATTAAGAACTATTCTTTGAGTTTGGCTACACAACTAATTCTCAATTTATGACTGTATTATCATCTAAATTATCTCTACAACGATAGCATGAAAATCCTCTTACATGTAATTTACTCCAATTCCCTCAACATATGGATGAGGGAACTGAGGCTAACAGAAGTGATTTGCCCTAGATCACATAAGCTAGTTAGTGGCAGAGAGGCAGAATTCAAACCTAAGTCTCCCGACTTCTTATTCAGTGTTCTTTCCACGAGACCACCATTGCCTCTAAGACATCACATCATTAAGATGTGAAGAAATAAAAGCCAATTCTTCATGATAGATGGCCTTTATTATAAACCAATGCTGTTCCCTCCCCTCTTTCAATAGTTTCAAAGTTGTAGGTGATGGGGTGAGAGAGGGATACACAGGAGGATTGGACAATTTCTTTTATTACACTGCAAAACATAAATGCCACTGCAGGTATAGTTTGCATTATAGATGAATAGAAAAAGAAAAATACATAAAACATTTTATAAAATCACTTTACCTTTGTGATGAGGAGTCGATACTTCTCAACTAGGTGGTCATTGTTGTGGCATCCTGCAAGGAGCTGCCATACTTCCCCTCGAAGAGCCTCAGGGACACCACTTCTTACTAAGGATGATAACTGCTTTGGTCTCACACTCAGGTTTAGATGCCTGAAAATGAAGCCATAGCTCATGATTGGGGACTCAAAGTGCAAAAAAGGAAGTTAGGCAATACGCAACATAGAACAGAGTTACAAGTATAGAAAAAAAAAATGTATTACTGTGAGAATTTAGATTTATTACAAAAGGCTTTAAGAAAGACCACTCATGCCAAAATTCCACAGATGTCCAAACAAAACTTTAAATGATTTTCATAAAGTTTGTTAATCTATTTAGCATAAAATACATAAGCAAGGTTACCAAGAAATACTTCCACAAACAAAAGAGGCCAAAGCTAGAATTATTTCAAAGCCCAATGAAACAATATAGTTCAGCTGATAAGAAGTTTAACTGGAAGCTGATCTACATTATCTCTATCTGACACACAATTAAGTATATGACTAGGTGCCAAACATTTAAGTTACTGCTTCAATATCCAAATAAAATTTACAAAGGATTTTGTGAATACAATTATACAATTCCTGAATATAGTCAAACACTAAAAAGCAGTTATCCACAGTCAAGCTTTCAATAACATCTTACTGTGAATAAGAAGAGCAAATATTAACAGAATATCTATCCACAAAGCAACCTAGAGACAAAAGTAGTTACCTCAGCTTGAACACAACTACAGAGCAATGAAAACCTTGGAAGTCATCAACGTGAAGCACAAATCTACCATCAACCTCTGTTTTCAAAGATATCTAGCGTGATGATCATGCTTTAAGAAACACTGAGCACATAAACATGGCTCTAGATAAACTTCTTTGCTATCATTTTCCAGCATTTGGTTGTCTGTACCAGAGCTTTAGCACTACTGCAATAAACATTATTTTTGTTTATATAAAAAAATCATTTAAAAGTAAAAAAATTGGAAAGTACAAGTGATTGTAATAACTTATTTTATTTTATTTTGCTTTTTTGGTGAGGCAATTGGGGTTAAGTGACTTGCCCAAGGTCACACTGCTAGTAAGTGTCAAGTGTCTGAGGCCAGATTTGAACTCAGGTCCTCCTGACTCCAAGACCGGAGTTCTATCCACTGTGCCACGCAACTGCCCCAATAACTTAGTTTATATTTATAAAATAAACTTCTAGGATTCTCTTATCAAATACAGAGGACATTTAATGAATGTTTGCTAAGTGAATGCATGTTGTTTACCTTATTTTTCAGATCTACAGAGTACTTTATATGTGAACTTGTGTAATGTATTTATCATATAATATAGTGTAGTTATCTTTGTTGGTGTCCCCCCCTCACTAGTTTGTAAATTCCTTAAGAGCAGGGATTATGCCTTATCAATGAAGCTTTGTATCTCCCCTGAGTTGGTACAATTCTATGCATGCAACAGGTGCTTAATAAATATCTGCTGACTGCATTGTCATGGTACCTACTTACCTGAACATAATTTGGTTTTAATACATTCTCTCAATGTCTCTCTCTCTTTATTTCTTTCTTTGTACATTATATTTAAATTAGAAGGTAATGTGGTACAGTGGGAAAAGCACTAGACTGGAAAGTTAAGAGACCTGGCCTGAAGCTCCTCCTCTATTATAACCTTACACAAATAATTTCATTTCTTTGGATCCTCATTTTGCTCCTCTATACAGTAACAGGATCAGAACAGGTAATCTTTAAGGTCCTTCCAGCTCTGACCTTCTACAATTCTCTATCTCTCTTTATAGGGATACATATGAAAATGACATTTAAAATTGTGTATAATTTTTCTCGGCTGTTTACTTCAATTGTGCTCAATTATTTTTAACAGCTTTGCACAGACAGAATAACATACTGACTTTGTAGCTAGCTGATTATGATACTGTTTATCATAAACAGATTTAGCAGAATGGGAAAATGGTGTGCCACATTTGTAATGATGAGCTAATTAAGGTTATGAGTTCCTCGTCATTAGAAGTAGTCAGGCAGTGACTGGATTTGTCAGGAATAATACAATGGGGATTTATGGTTCAGGTAAGCATTGAGCTGGACTTCGGCAGTCCCTGCCAGATCTAAGAGTCTATAGGGGCAACTGCCACTTGACTTGACTTTTGTCTTGCCACTAGATTCCAATGACTGGAGGAGACAGTGAGGCTGATGATTGTGCAGCTCTGCCTCACTTAAATCCAATTCACAAGTAAGTCAAGACATCACTCTCATAATGTCATTGGTCCTCTTTGAGAACAGAGGGCAAACAACAAACAAGAAAAGTGCAGGATTCGGTTCCTTAGGTTAGAAATAATAATGAAAATAAAAATAACTTATTAATAGCATTTTATGGTACTTTGAGGTTTGCAAAGTACTTTACAAATATTATCTCATTTTATCCTCACAATGACCATGAGAGGTAGATGCTATTAACTGAGGTAGTTAAATGACTTGCCCAGGGTCACATAGCTAGTCTGTTGCAAGATATGAACTCAGGTCTTGTTGACTCTGGGATCAGTGTATCAATGACTACAAAGAGGTTTGCTCACAAAAATCTTTTGAGGTAGGTTGAGGAAAATATCTCCTCTATGTTACAGTTGAGGAAACGGATGATCAGAGAGGAAAAATGACTTACCCAGTCACATGGATGGTGAATACAGCTTTTCTGACTCTAGCACACTTTTCATTATAAAATAGTGCCTCACTAAAATCTGATCAGAGATTTACATGCTACAAACTACAGCTCAGTGATTTTAAATATCTTATTAGGTGAACATCACAAGACTAAATTTGACTTTTAAGACAATTTCAAGATAGGAAATATTTTCATATTGTCCAGCATTAGCCCCCTGACACTTCAAAATCTACTCTGAAAACAGAATTTTAACATGAATGTTTTGTCTCCTGGTAAAGCAGGAAGATCAAAATACATGAAACTATTTTGTTCATCAGAGAGTTGGTACGTGGGGAAGGAGGAAGAGATTTTTAAAGTCTGACTTCAGCTTTCTATCATTGGAGACAAACAGTGCCCCACGCTACACATATTGGGTGCTTAGTGAAAAGACTGATGAATGAAATCTGTTAAAAAACCAAATCTGCAAGGGAACAAACCAAAGCTTCTCTCTGACATTTCTCAGTATACCCTGGAAAGGAACATTTTATTGAAAATGTAAAGTATCATGAGTATTCAAAGCAGATGCTACCAATTTGTAGTTCTAGCCTCCAAGGGCACAGATTACCTATTTTAAATCCTAGATATTGTTCAGCAAAAAATAAAGCCAAATGCTCCTAAGTTCCACCTTCCAGGAAAAATCATACCGGAAAGGAAGGGGCTTGTCAAGAACTATTTTTTCCCCCAGGTCAGCTGTTTTTTTTCCAATGAGCTTTGCACAATTTCTTCTATTTTGTTATTCTTTTGATTTTGTTTTACTGCTTCCTGATGTCTTGTGGAGTCATTAGCTTCTACTTGATCGATTCTAATGTTTAAGTATTTATATTCTTTAGGGAGCTTTTGTATCTTTTTTTTTTTTTTTTGGAGGGGGCGAGGCAATTGGTATGAAGTTACTTGCCCAGAGTCACACAGCTAGTAAGTGTTATGTGTCTGAGGCTGGATCTGAACTCAGGTCCTCCTGACTCTAGGGCCAGTGCTCTATCCACTGAGCCACCTAGAGGCCCCTTGTTAAGAACTTATGTGACAAGTCTAAGAACTAGACAGAGGGGAATCAAGAAGAGTTCAAATAACTGTTCTTTCCCCTCTACAAAACGTGTATATCTTCTAAAAGTAACTAGATAAAAATATATATTATAATCTCATCATTTTGACTAGTACCATCCTTTCTCATAATATTAAGAGAGAGCTGAAGGAAATATAATTCTTTTAGAATAAGTCTGACTGCCAAGGGCAGTGTTTCCTAAACTTGCTTGCAGACCCTTTTATGTCCCTTCTCATCAATTTAGCTGAAAGGAAATACAGATTAATGATTTTTTAGGGCCAGAAGAACCCTAAGATATCATCCAATCCAGGCCCATTATTTTACTAATGAAGAAAATGAGACTCAGAGGTTAAGTGATTTGTCTGAGGCCATGTAGCCAGGAAGCACTAGAAATAAGATTTCAATTCAGATCTCCTGATCTGAAGTCCGGTGTTTTTACACTACACCTAGTTGCTTCTGACTAGGCTCAACTATTCATTCCAAGACTGAATTACTCTGCTAAGGTAAGCATCAAAGTATACAAAATAAATTTTGGGAAGAAAATGGAGGTTGTTATTATACGACTCACCATCTTGACAGCAGTTCTCCCCAAGTTTCGAGAATTTTTTCTGCACATTCTTTGGATACATCCCCTGATCCACTCAAGAGAGGTTCATCATTATCTTTAACAAACAGAGCATAAAGACAGTGTGACAAAAGGGCTCATGTTAAGTAGAAAAATGAGCTAGGTACTAATTGAGCTGCTTGGTTCTTATTACAAACTTATGGGTTCTGATGAGCAATAATATTTGCAATAAATATGACTTATGGCCCTGCACATACCCATCTTTGTGTGTGTCTAAATATTCTCTACTGGGGGTTGGAGGGAGAGAGTGGAGTTGTGGGAGAGACATGAGATGTATGGGGAGGCTACTTTTAAAAAGTTCAGTATTTTCTCCTATTAAATAGGTAAAAATACAAGATCAAAATGGTACTGAGTTAAATCCTATATCTAAATTATGTCTTCTGATTAACTTTAGGATAATGTATATGTGGTCACATTTAAAGTTAGACAAGTCAATGCAATATAATAGCAATAATTACCATTAATATATTGCTTGAAGGGTTCCAAAGTGCTTTATAAATATTATCTCATTTTATCCTCACAACAGCACTATGGAATAGGTGTTATTACTGTCCTCATTTTATAGATGAGGAACCTGAAGTAAAGAGAGATATTGTGGCTTGGCTGGGGACACACAGCTGTTAGGTGTCTGAAGCCAGATCTGAAATCAGGTCCTTCTGAACCTTTGCCTCAGTTCTCTTATTTGTAAAATAAGGATAACAATAGCACTTACCTCAGATGGCTGTTGTGAGGCTCAAATAGGTTAATATTTGTAAAATGCTTTGCAAATCTTAAAGTGTCATATAAATGCTAATTATCATGTTATTATTATTTCAAAACATGTTATTCTCTTGGTATCATTACCAAAAGTAGTTATGAAAAACCAGCTATGTAGACCACCAGCCCTGGAGTCAGGAGGACTCAAGTTCAAATCCAGCCTCAGACACATAACACTCACTAGCTGTGTGACTCTGGGCAAGTCACTTAACCCCAATCGCCTCACTCAAAAAAAAAAAAGAAAAGAAAAGAAAAGAAAAAGAAAAACCAACTATGTCAGGCACTACACTTGGTACTGATGATATCCTGCTTGCAATGGATTTACATTCTAACAAGGGAGACAACATGTATGTATGTAGGTATATTCTAAATAAATGCGTGATGTTCTGGGAGAAAAGACACTAAGAGATGGAGGGACTGAGAAAGGCTTCATGGCAAAGGTAGTCCTTAAGCTGAGCCCTGAAGGAAACCAGGGATTCTAGGAGGTAGAAGTGACAAGAGTAATAGGAAGGAAGGCAGATGACGGTCGTATGAGGAGCGAAGTCACAAGGTTTACAGTTATAAGAAGGCCAGTGTGGCTGGTTGGTAGTGTACAGGAAGGGGAGTAATATATAATATGGATAGTAAGACAGGTTAGGGCCAGGTTGTGAAGGGGCTTTAAAAGCAAAACAGGAGTTTTTATTTGATCCTATAGGTAATAGGAAACCAATGGAATTTACTGAGTGAGGGAGTGACATGGTCAGACATGCACTTGAGGAAAATAACTTTAGCAGCTATGTGGAAGAAAGATTAGAGAAGGCAGAGATTTAGGGAGGGGTTCTAATTAGGAAACTACTGCAATTGTTCAGATGAGAGGTGAAATGAGCCTGAATCCAGAAGGCAGCTATGTGAGTAGTGAGAAGGGGTCAGAAGGGAGAGATGGTGTGAATGGTGAGACAACAAATTTGGCAACTGGTTGGATATATGGGTTAGGTGAGAGTGCAGAGTGGAGGATAGAGACAAGATTGTGAACCTAGGATACAAGAAGGATGGCAGTGGCCTTGAGAAAAATAGCACAGTTCAGAAAGGGGTAGAGGTTTGGGTATGAAAAACAATGAGTATTATTTTGGACATATTGGCACTAGATTTGGAATCAGAGTATCTGGGTTCAAATTTCATCCCTGTCATTTACTCTCTGTCACATACTCAGTGTATAAGTCATTTAAGTTTTCTGAGTCTCAGTTTCTTCCTCCAAAAAATGAGATGAGCAGACAAAATGGCTCCCAAGGTTCCTTCCAGTTTTAAATCTACAATCTTATGATCTAACTTCTATTGTAAAGAGAAATAAACAGAAAATGATGGGAAAGCCATATCCTCCCTTGAGAAGTTTTGAAATCTATTTTACTTCAGACTCAGCAAAATTCAGATCTATCGAGTTTTCTCCAATTGGTAGAAATTATTTTACGGAGAAGAGAAACCTATATAAGTAAGTTCATACAGAAACTAGGCAAATCTTGATGAATTTAAAGAATTCAACAAATGATAATATAGATTATTTGCAATCATTTCCATTCCTGAATAGTGTTTAATATATAAAATTGCTCTCCTTTAATAGTTTTAATACAAAGGTTTTATAGGGACTCTTTCTTATTGCATTTTTCCTAGTTCTAATGACTATATAGATAGACATAATCTACCTTAAAAAAGTGATTACCAACCCTGGAGTTATGACACCTTGAACATCTGCTGTGTGGTCAACCTTGCCCATAATTATGAAGAACATGCCACCACTAACAAAATAATACTATTTCAGAGAAGACAACCTAAGGATTTGCTTTTTCACAAACAGTTACTGAGCACCTACTATCTGTTAGACCTTTTGTTATATGCCAAGGGGGAAATGATGATTAGTAAGACCAAGACCTTGCCCTTAAGATTATCCAGTCTGATAGGTAAATGAAGCCAAATGGAAGGCTATATGATGTAGTAGTGAAAGCACTGATGTGAGAATAATATGATTCTGACAATACCCTTCATCCATTGGCTGTGTGATCCAGGCAAATCATTTCACCCTTCTGGACCTCTAAGTCCTCATCTGTGAAATGACATGACTGTCTTAAGTAATTTCTAAGCTTTCATTCATTATATGGCAAGGATAATCTATTAATTTTGCATGTGATAAGAAATGGACTAGTTAGGTCTCAAAAGAAAAAAAGTTTTAAATCAGTGTATTCAAAATGTAATCAAATCATGTCTTTTTCAACTCTAATACTTAAATATTTTATGATTGGGAAAGAACACTGAATCTGGAAAAAGACAACCTAGGTTCTAATCCCACCTATGGTACTTAATAGTTCATGGCCTTGGATAAGTAACTTAATCTTTCAGGTCTCAATTTCTTCATCTTTAAAATAAGGGGACTGTATTGGATGATCTCTTTTAGTCCTCAGTACTATTATACCAGGAAAATGAACTACATTCCCAACTGGATACTTTGTTACTTTAAAGTTAAGTTTCTGTGAGGTACTCGTCTTCTTGAACCTTCTAACATTAATAAATTCTTATGCATTTCAAAATGCTTTATGTATTACTGCTAAATGCTAAAATATTATTCAGTGGATTACAATAGAAAGCTATTAGGGTTCACTCAGAATTCTAAAAAACCAAACCAAAAGACCACAGAATATATGTGTATATGTTTGTATATAAACTAACAGGTATAAATTTTTTTTTCAGTTTTTTCCATTTTTTTCCAGTTCCAGGTCTAACTGGAAAATAATACCAGCTAATACCATGACTCCAAAAAAGCCTGCAAGTAATTGAAACTATAACATAAGCTTAGCTTAAATCTTACCTTCCTCTTCATCATCTTCTGGAGGGGAAGGTATCATTGAACTCTGGGACCCTGACTGTGGCAGGCGAAGGGAGGGACTGGCTGTGGTTTTTCTCCTTTCTCTTTCTGATTCACTCTCCAAGCACACAACTTCATATAAAGTGTCAGTGTTACTTTTTCTGTCTTTCTGTTTTATCTTTAGGAAAGAATGATATGAATTAGGCCCATTCATTAATCTGTGCTTTTGATTTGATGTAGCATTCAATTCAGCAAGCATTTAAGCATCTACCACATGCAAAGCACTATGTTGGCTCTGTAGCTGAAAGTAAAACAAAACAAAAAATGGTCCCTGCCCTCAAAGAACTTATTGTTCCACTTGGAGTTAAACAACATATACACAGACAGGCAAATACAACCAGAGGAGAGAGAGAGCAATCAGTGGGAAGTGAGGAAATAAGGGCAAGGACTGGAGGCCAAGAATATAGACAATTTTTCTAGGAGTCTGGTTGTGAAATAAAAGAGATATACGGTTATAATTTGAGGACAAGATTAAATGAAGGCTTTTTAAGGATAAGAGAAATCTGGATATGTGTGTAGTAGCAGGGAAGAACCAGTAGATAAAAAGAATACGATGATTAGAGAGTGGGAATGATTGAAGAAACAAGCTTCCCAAGGAGAAAGGAAGTGATGAAATCATAAGTGCGGTTAACAAGGGTTTGGCCTTGGAAAAGAGAAAAGTCAATTCTTTACCAGAGCAAAGTAAGAGGGAGTGATACAAGTGGCTGTGAGGTACAGGATAGGTGACAATAGAGAGCACAAGATGGAAAGCTTCTATTTTCTCAATAAAACAGAAGTTGGGGGACAGTTGCGTAAGGGGCTTCAGGAAAGAGGTTTGAAATAGCTGCTTTGGGAAGTGCAAAGGAACATGTGAGGAAATAAAACGCTAAAGTTATTATAGAATACGTACATGTGTACATATATACATGCTATGTGGTTTAGCAGAATGGATGGGGCTAGGGAGCCAGGAGATTTGGGTTTAAGTTGACACTCTGCCACTCGTTTGTTGTGTGTGACCCTGGGCAAGTCGCTACACCTTACTGAACCCCAGGTCCTCATCTGTAATAGTTGGTGCTTAAACAGAAGATCACTAAGGTTCCTTTCAGTTCTAATATTATGTATTCTAAGACCCATTCCAGCTCTGAGTTCTATGTTCTAACCTTCTATGTTCTAGGACCACGCCTCCTTTTCCCTTCTATATTCTAAGGCTTCTGCAGGCCTAAAGTTCTATGAATGTCCAGTCTATATCTTCTATGTACTGTCAAGAAACTTTGGCTTCTGTCCAGTTCCTTCCTATTTCATTTGACGGTATTCTAAATGTACTAAATTTGAACTATTTTCATCCTATCCAGCTAAAAAAGGTACTTCTCTAATGTTGTGCCATCTAAGGTTGCTTAATAATCACCACAGTTGGGAATACTTCCAAGCCAAAAAAATGTACCGAGCCATCACATTTTGGGGGGGGGGGGGGGGGGGGAGGAGAGCGGGTTTGAGAAGGATTGAAATCAGTGTTGAATATATGTGTAGGAGCAGCAAGGTGGTGCAGTGGATAGAGCATTGGCCCTGGAGTCAGGAGGACCTGAATTGAAATCTGGCCTCGGACACTTGACACTTACTAGCTGCGTGACCCTGGGCAAATCACTTAACCCCACTGCCCAGCCAAAAAAAAATGTGTGTGTATTTAAACATTTGTGAAAAGTATTGTTTTTCCTTATTTGAAAAGCAAAAAATTGATGACCAAGATAAGTTTAGTGTCTATAGGAAATTTTGCCCTATGAGGAAAAATTCTTACTGCTGGGGCTAACAGAATTTTAAAAATGGAAGCATTCTGTGCTTAATTTTTGGCAAGCAAATAACGAAAATGCCCTTACAACCCAAATTAGAAATAAGAAAAATGGAGAACACAACAAATGCAGAAATTAAGAAAACTATTAGAGACTGACCAAGAAGGTTATTAGTCCAACAACTGGTCAGTCACAATTTAAGCCAGTATTCTACCATCAGTTAGTTACTGAGATCTCATTAAGAATTGACAATATGCCCTCAGATATCAGAATGAACACTTCTTCAGATACACTGTACTGCAGGTTGACAAAACTGAGAATTTAAGAGAATTGGATGAATATTTACAATACTATAAAATGTTCAGCTGACAAAAAGAGGAAATAAAGCAAAACAAACAAATCTCTGGAGAAAAACGAATAGATCATTAATGATCTGATTAAACTTGATAAAAAAGGTACTGGGATAATATGGATGTTCCTTTATAGTCAAAGAACATGTAAATTTAATACCATACATAAACTGTTTTCAAATAAAATAATTTCTGTGAATCAAAAATCATTAAAATGATGACAAACGTTACAATGTATGTAAGTTTGGTAAAATAAAAGATACCGTGGTAATTAGGTTAAACTTCCAAAATTTGTTTTGTTCCCCCAGACAAATATTTGAGGCTTTTGGCATTAGTTGTTGAAATTTTCCTCATTATATTAAAAAATGATTCATCCAAATAAGGAGAAAAGTGGTAGAATAAACTTGGGATATTCCCTCCTTTATTTCTGCTTTATTGTTAGGGTTCTACTATTAGTATGCCACTTAGAATGGGTGTAAAAAGGTTCATCAAAAGGTTAGGATTGTGGTAGGAACATGTTTAACTCTGCTTTCCACCCCATATGAAATTATTTTTGGCAAAGTGATTCTAGGTTAAAAGAGATGGTGTTAGACAAAGTATTATACTGAAATATTTTATAAAACCATGTGCAGGATTCAAATTAATCTTATCCACTTCGAATCCCTACAGGTCTACATGGATTGCAGAATACGTACATGTGGTTATTTCACAGGGGACTGTAGATATCAAATGGAGAGAAGCTAGGAAAATCTGAGGAAGATCAGAATAGGTATGGTACTCTAAGATTTACAAAGAGGATCCTAGGCAAAAAAACTACAGCACAGTTCAATTACATTAGGTTAGAAGTAGGGACATATCTGATATTATTTCTCACAACAACCCCATAAAATAGGTAGTATAAGTCTTATCATTTCCATTTCACTGAAGCAAAAACTTAAGCCGGAAAATGGGAAATGTCTTGGCCAAAGTCACATGGAAAGAGGTAGAGTCAAGACTCTGATTTAGGTTTTCTGATTACCAAGTCTAGTAACTCTTCCACATGCAATTTCTGAAATTTGTAAAAAATAAAATGAAATTATAATAAATAAATAAGAAAATAAATAATGAATAAAATTAGCCATTTCCAAAATGTGCTTACCCTAAGGTAAATATTCAAATAGATCTGTGATTTCATCAATCTGAATATTCTGTCCAATGATGCAGATTATAGCCCATTCATGCCTGCTTATCTTGTGCAACTCTTGATCTTGTCCTCCCAAGTATGCTTCAGGGATTTTACCCAATGTACTGGGGGGTTTTCTTGGCATCTTGAGGATGCCAATGGAACAAACAAGTTGTCCAATGGTTATTCCTAGCTCTCAACATGTCTTAAAAAAAATGACATATTTTTTGACATCCTTTATCCTGCTTCTCCTTCGTAATTCTTTGTAACATGTTGCAGTCTGTTCTTGCTCACCATGTGCCTCTCAACTGCCCTTTGGGTAATTCTTAACTTCAATCTGTGAAAACTAGTGTTCCATAATTTGTAGCTATATAATATCAAAAAAAGAATAATGCCATTAAAAAGATAATAGGAAGAAGCTTAAGTTGCTAACAGAAAACTGCAGTTTCCCTAAAGTAATCCAAGATGCTCTCTCCTTATTCAAATGAATCCAATGCAGTAACTTATTCATTTGCTACGCCCCAAGTTACATGTGCTTAACAGAAAAGAGATATAGATTGCCTATCTAACTGCATATAGGTCTGGACAATAGATATTCTTTATCTACTGATTTTTTTTTCTTTTTGAGGCAATCAGGGTTAGGTGACTTGCCCAGGGTCACACAGCTAGTAAGTGTCTGAGGCTGGATTTGAATTCAAGTTCTCCTGACTCTAGGGCTAGTGCTCTAAACCCTCTACTGATTTTTTTCTTGTATGTATAGTTAGATTAAACTCTTTTGAGTGATTATGGATCCCAGTTAGGAGGCTCTCCAATGTTCTTTCAGGTAGTTACCTAGCTTCCTCTATGTGCTAGACACTGTGCCAAGTGCTAGAGAAAGACAAAAATAGTCTCTGTGGTCAAAGAGCTCACGGTATAGTGGGAAAGACAGTATACAAACAATTATGTACAAACAAACTCTATACAGGAAAAAATTGGAGATAATCAATAAAGGGAAAGCACTAGCATTAATGTGGATGAGCAAGAGCTTCTTCCAGAAGCGGGGGACTTTAGCTGAGACTTCAAGAAAGCTGGGCTGTGGAGAAGGGGAGGGAGACAGTGTCAGGTATGGGGTTGAGCCGATGAAAATGCAGAGCTGTGACATGGAGTGTCTGGTGAAAGGACCAGAAAGTAGGCCAGTGCTACTGGATCACAGAGTAGATGGAGGGCTTCGGGGGGTAGGGGAAGGAAGGGGAAGAGAGAGAGGAGGTAGGGAAGAGAGAGGATAGAAGCTTTAGAAAGATTAATTTGACCGCTGAGAAGCTGGACCATATTGAGAAGAACTTGAGGCAAGGAGACCAAACAGCACGCTATAGAAATATTCCAAGTGTGAAGTAATAATGGTCCACATCAGAGTGGTGACAGTGTCAGAGAAGAGAAGGGGGTGTTGAAGTTAGAAATAACAGCTGGTTCTGGAGCTTGATACAATTAGAACAATACCATCTGCAAATAAGAGTATGTGAAAGACTACCATTTCTAGGGAACATTTCTTCAATTTAGACTGCTGTGACAGCAAACAGCTTTGGTGAATGTGTGTCTCCCTGTTTTAATCCTTGTTTGATATTAATGATATGAGGGTTATTGAAGAGAGTTATGCTTGTTATCTCTTTCAAGGAATCTTGTACAATGTTGATGGAGAGAGCCTTTAAAGTGGCAATTTGCTGACTAAATTGAATGCTTTTTACATTCAACAATCATGCTACTGAAATCACTAGGGAACAGAATATTATCTCACTGGTTTTCATCAAGGAAACAAGTCTCAGAAATCTCTAGGAGGCTAATATATAAGTTCTGATCTAATTAATTGTGACATATCTGAGGCAACATGGTCATAACAGATTGTAACCTTAAAAAGGTAATCTAAGGAGTGAGGTTTTTGTCAGTGTCTCCAGGACTGCTTAGGGGGTAAAGGATGTTTTGGTTGTTAAGCACCTGTTATTCCGGCACTCAGCAAGTGCCTAGCACATGTCAATATTGTGTAATAAGTGCTTGTTGACCGATGATTGTTGTCTAATCAAAAATATAGAATTTTTGCATCAAAAAAACTCTACAGGTCATCTAATTCAAACCATACCTGAGCAAAATTCTTATTTAATAATATAATATCCCTGACATGGATCTGCTGGAAAATCTCTGGTGAAGGGGAACCTTCTGAGGAAGCTAATTAAACACTTATTATCATCTGAAATTACCTAAGTGAGGACAGTGAAAAATACGTTGAAAAATAAGATTCAGGAATAAGAAATGAAAGACTCCAAAAGCTTACAGACTACAAAGAAGCTTCATACCTATATATCACACTTTAAATTAAATGAACAGTATAAAAGACAAGAAACAACTAGTTACCAAAATGTGAATCATTTTTAATTAAGTGCACAGTCAGATCAACTTCTCAGAGCAAAGATCAAAACGATCAACATATTAGAAGAATAAAAATGAGAAAGATATGGCATACAATTGAGACAACTCCAGCCTGTCTTATTTAAATAAGCTGTAGATATGAAATAAATGGGGAATAGGTAAAAGAACAAATATAGAAAAAAGAACAGAACTTTACTAAGAAAGATTAACTAATGTAAATCAACAACCCAAAATAACACAGAACCCCAACAAGCTTCCCAACAAGCTTACAAACCACTGTAGCCAGCAAAAGTTTGCTCTCCTAATCAAAAGGAATACAGTAACTAAGGGCAATACTAGTTTAGGCAATATATTCATTTAGTAAATATTGTGGAGGAAGATGGTAGAGGACATGATCACAATTACCTCATAAAGCAGATGATCCCAATGACATGAAATTTGAGGGAGCAAGATGAACAATTAAAAATGGAAAAGATCTGTGATGATTTCTAATAATCTCTTTCGCTTATCAATGACAAATACTACAGTTGGACCCTTCAAATCACAGAAAAAGGAAGGAGAAATGGCTAAACAAGCCTAAAATGGGAAAAGCAGTTGGAATGAACCAAGCAAGAGAGAAGATCTATGTTGGAGGTGAAATTATTTTGAGGATATTAAGGACTCCTTTTGAGGTACAGAATGAGAAAGCAGTCAAATAGCCAGGACTTCTTAAGCTACTTAGAAAGGGGGAAGTTACTAAAGGCTTGGGAAAAAATATTATCAAAAAGACAACTGAAAAATATCAGTAACTACCATTGAGAAGGATATTTTCCTATGACATGAAAATTTTTTGAGACCAATTTATGTAGACATGGAGGACATCTTGATGAAGGTATCAGAAAAGATAGCAGGCTTTCATTAGTGACATTAAACAGAGGAACACGTATTTACTGCCACATAACTAAGAAGAAGAGAAAATATAAGATTCCACTAAACTTGTTTACTATAAAAAAGTATTTGGGTAGAGCAAAATGATATCTTAAAGACTTTCCCTCCCAACAAGCTGTCAACCATGCAAATGTTAGTATCATACATGATTCCTTCAAAGAGGTAACAATAGAGATAACACTGCCCAATGATCTTGTGATTTTACTATCAAACAGTCATAAAATAGATATTTCTCACCAAAGGTATTTGTCACTTTGATAGATAAATTCTAGTACAATGTTAAAATCAAAGAGAGAGTCCCTATAAATGGTGAAGTCCTCCAGAAAATCTGGTTGGCAGATGGCATTGTGCTCACTGTATCAAACTGTAGAACTTTATAAAGCCTCCTAAGCGAGATCTAATCAAAATACTTTGGCCTAATTATCCAAAAGCCAAGCAGATAAAGAATTCTTATTATCCAGACTAAGATATACATTTGGATGGACAACTCATAGATCTGGTACATTAATACATACATCTTGGACAAATCCTCTGGCTAAAGAGTAAGTTAGAATCAGAATTTTAAAAAGTATAGGACAGTAGATTGGATTGCTCTGGAAGTTGTGCAGGGCTTTTAATCATTTCTAGTTTCTTTGTGAAATAAAAGCCCACTTTTTTAAACATCAGTAATCTACCAGTGATGCTGTATGGCTGTGAGTCACTGAATATCGTCCCTAGAATTAAAGTAAAGGGTCTCCTAAAGACAATGGAGAGGGGCATGTCAGGCATGAGCAGGCTGCAGGATATCAGCAATAAAGAACCATAGAAAGGAGAAGTAGGTCAGAAAATTCCAAGCTCCCTAGATTTCCTCTACAAACAAGGCAAAATAGCGCCGCAGGGTGAACATACAATGGCAAAAATAAACAAGAGTTGGGGCAGAGCAGTGGTCCTCCTGGTACAATTGGAGAAGATCTTAAGAAAGACTCCAGGAACTTTCAAAGTCAAAAACCAAACCCTTGATACTATTCACTTAAGGTTCTGACTGAGAAAGGAGGCAAACAGCCCAGTGTCCTTTCTTTTTACCTCATAACTGTAACAGTATGTTCCTAAAGGTCTTATGTAAAACAAAATATTCAAAACAGCATTCTCTTAGATAGCAAAAAAAAAAGTAAACATAGGGTATTCATCTACTGGGAAATTGCCAAACAAACTGTGAGACATGCAAAACTATGATAAAAGTATAAAGAATTTAGAAAGAAACAAGAAGACTGGAACAATGTGATGCAGAGTAAAGAAAGCAAGACTAATATTATGTACAATGCCTATAATAATGTGAATGATATTTTTAAAATGCAATCAAACTCTGATAAACAGTGAAACATTGGCCTTAGAGAACTGAAACGGAAATATTTTCCTGCCCTTGGCAGAAAGGTGGGGAGTATGGATGTGGAATGGCACAAATTCTTAGATGCAGTTGCTTGTCATTGGTTGGCTTTGCTTCAATGTTTTTCTTCATTACAAGGAAAGATTTCAGTTGGATAGGGCTAAGAGGAAGTGATTTTGATGTAAAATAAAAGGCAAAAATATAATTTAAAAATAAATGAAATAATGGGTTTCAAGAGATTGTGCCTTAATCAATTTTAGTAAATAATATTTTAAATGCTCTACTTTTGTCTTCTACAAAATGCAGATAATACTATTTGTATTATTCTTTTTTACAGAGCTATTGTGAGAAAAGTGCTTGGCAAAATTTCCAGGACTAGAGAAATGTAAGCTCTTATTACTTAAGAAAAATATTTAAGCCATCAACCAAAACCATGTTCCCAAACCCAAGAGCAAACTCTTGAAAAGGACAAAATTAATCTTTATCAATCCATATATTTAAAAATATAGATATCAGGAAATAAAAAGAGTATCTCTAATTTTAGGGTGTTAGATCAAATAAATGTCTTTGAACTGAAGACAAGTCAGTTCTAGATCTATTTTTCATCGTAAGAACTGGGCAGAAGGGATTAATACCTGTTTTAGCTTCAAAAAGAAGTTTTCAGTAGTGCTACGTTTGCTGAAGGGCCAGAATAGCCTCTCATTAGGTGAACAAACTCGGACTTTTGTCTCCAGAAGAAACCGAACAGGTTCCTGCACTTCTGTTATGACCAAATCAACTGCTGCAGTCATGAACAGCACTTTGTCTGAAGACAGAGAGAGAGAGAAAAGGATAGCAACTTATTTGTATGCTTAAAACAAATACGTTCCTCTTAATTCTGCAACACAAACTTTAGCAAATTTTGATACAGTAGCATATAAGATAACTAAAATAAGTCTCCATTAAGGAAAGTATATATCTTAGAAATATCAACAGGAAGATGAATATGTAAGGCAAGATAAGCTGTGGTCTAATTAATTATAAAATGTCTGAAGCAATGCTCTTCCATCAAGGTAAAGAAAAAGACTGAAACCAATGACAAAAAGTCCTTTGCAATAACTTTCTACCTAAAAGAAATATTATTTTGCTTACAGCTCAAATCATATTTCAACAAATTCCAATACACTGGAACTCGAAAGGAACGTGGAGATTATTTGGTCTGTCTTAATTTTACAGATGAAGAAATTGAGGTAGCAAGGTCATAACTTGCACAAAATCACCAGGCTAATTGGTAGCAAATCAGGAGTAGCTTCTATTAGAAACAGGTTGTCTCAGTTATAGGCAAAATATGGGCTTGAAGCCTTGGATTTAGGTAATGTGAAGTTTCTGTTGTTGTTGTTGGTATTTGCTGAAACACAATCTGAGCTGTGTTGACCTCACGCCAATGATGACGACAGTCTGAAGCTTACTGGGGGCATGAACACAAACATCTGTGAGGGAAAAAATACCTTTTGGTGTTTCTTCATTTACAACCTGGAAGTGTGGGGATTTAGGGTTCCAGCTACCAGTAATGATGTAAGACTTCCCATCTGAACTTTTCCCCATAGATTCCTAAGGAAAAGAGTGAAAGTAAGCCTGAGCCAAAATGTGACCTAGCAATAGTTAATGTTCATTTTGCTGTCTCTTCAAAAATATTAGCTGATATTTATATGCTTATTACAATTTATAAAGCAAATTATATATTCTCCTGATACATACTACAACCCAGTGAGAATGGTAGGATAAGGATTAACAATACCATTTTGTAGATAAGGAAACAGGTACAAAGAGGGTGTAATTTGTCAGAGGTCACATGGCCTTTATTGGATGGATCTAAAACTGTAGTGGGAAGACACCAAGAACAGGGCTCTTTCAACTGTACTGCATGTTCTCATACAAAGTGAAATTAGAACTACACACACATGAAAAAGTGAGCTCAAGGGAGTAAAGGTCTCCAAGCACTTTGCTTTATGAACCTGGTAAGTTCCTGAAAAGTTACTTCTAAAAGGAATGGCTTTAAAATGAATAAAGCTTTAAATATAGTAGATAAACTCAACTTCTGAAGGCATTCTAAAGCACATCCTTGTGTAAAACAAAAAACCTCCCTTAATTTATCTGTTTTATAAATCTGGATTTTCCTACCTCAGGTTAGCTAAAAGTGGGTTGTAGAAGTATTAGTGTTAAACAGGGACTGAGTGGTTTGGAAAGACAACATTTTGTATATGGAAGGAAACAAAGTGCAAAAGTTAAATTCTAAAGAAGAGTCCTTTTATCAATTAATAAAAGAAATCCATTATGTTGACATAGAAGTTTGGAGTATACAAAATACTTCTACACACATCATCTCATTTGATTCACAGAATCACAGAATGTTGGTCTGAAGGGCTCTCAGAGAATACTCAGTGTGACTCTCTTCCCTTTATAAGATAAAAGATTAAAGGCCAGGAAAGCTGAATAACTTGTTATTAGTAAGCTACAGAGCATGGTGTAGCAGAAAAAGGACTGGGATTGACCAGTTGTGTGATCTAGTGCAATCACATACCTGTAAAATTAACAACAGCTGTGGTATACAATAGGGTTGTCACCAAAATTCAATAAGATAATGTGTATAAAACACTTTGCAAACCTGAAGCATTTTATATATGTCAGTTATTGTTGTTAGTAAAGAAAAAAAAACAAGAAAAATAACCTCAGTTCACAACACTTGATTTTTTTGCAAAGCTTTGCTTTGCTCAGCAATAGCAACAGCTAATTTTGAGAGTTACAAGTACTTTGCAAAACAATTTGGTGAATGATAACCTAAGATTGTAGCTAATACAGTCTCATAAAACAACTAAATGCATTGTAAAAAGAATAAATCTACTGTGCAACTGATATTACTCAATTCATAAGAACATACATTGTTGACATGGAAGGAAAAAAGAACCAGAAAGTCTACTGAAACAGACTGCCAGGATTTCTACAGACAACTCTTTTCAGCCACAGTGAGGGGAGAACTCCCACATCTGGACTCCAACACTGCTGATATGCTGCACAAAGATGAGGGTGGTGTTCTTGACTCATCTTTCACTAACTGAGCATCTCCTATGTATGCACCAGACACTGTGCAAAGAACTGGGAATACAAAAAACAAAAACAAAAACAAAAACAGAAACAGACCTTGCTCTTAGAAAGTTCAGTCTAATAAGAAAAAAGAAAAAATGAGCTAGACAACAACAAAGATGAGCTAGACAAGAACAAAGACATGAAGATGATATCTGTGCTGAAGGCAACACAAATTTTAAAGCTCAAGATTCAATAACTAAGTTATCTCCAAGATGTAATTGTTCGGCTCAGCAAACACCTTTTGGCTTTCCAGGTCATCAGGTACTATGAAATATTACTTAAAGAGAAGTGCTCCAGTGTGAAAAGTTAGGAGTAAATGAATCTGAAGAGGCAGAAGGGCCTCATGACCTGGGTCAGAAGACTGGCAGAGAGAGAGAACCCAAGAGTTGTGCAGAGTACCAAGGGCAAAAAAATCTCTGAGCAGGTCCAACTGAGAAACAAAAAGTAAAGTCTTCCCAAAAAGGGAGTCAGGTACTCTTTGGAGAAAGCACCTGCTTGGTATATATGGAATGATGGATGATACAGATCCACAAGTACTGACAGGTGGGGCATTAGCCAATAAAAATCAGATGGAAGAAGAGATAAATAGTGTAGGATGATGACTACCTGCTAAGGGGGATTAAGACAGCTATTTGTCAACCTTATAGCAGATGACTTCTACTCACTTTTGTTGGAAATTCATGTGGACATCAATGATATTGCCAGAAGGAACCTAGAAAGAATTGCTAAAGATTATGAGGTCTTGGGAAAGAAACTAAGGACCATATTAAAGGTAAAGATGATGTTTTCATCACTGCTGCTCATCAAAGGTGAGGGATTCAGAAGGGAAAGCCAGACTTGAAAAGTTGGCAATTAGTTTAGAAGATGCTACCTAAAAAAAGGGATCTGGATTTCTGCACCACAGCATAAGATATAAGAATCAGATATTCCTAGACAAAAATAGAATGCACTTAACAAGGTTTGGTGAGAGTTAAATTACTGGGGCAGCTCGGAGGAGCAGTGAATACAGCACTGACCCTGGAGTCGGGAGGACCTGAGTTCAAATTTGACCTCAGACACTTGATGCTTTACTAGCTGTGTGACCCTGGGCAAGTCACTTAACCCCATTTGCCTAGCCAAAAAAAAAAAAAGTTAAATTGCCTAGTCTTGCAATCTAATCATATGTGCTTTAAACTGAAAAGGGTAAGAGAGGGATGAAATTGCCTGTGTACATATGAGCTGGATACTATTGAGTAGTTATAATATAGGAAGAATACAAACGAAATAAGTGAGTTCACAAAAAACAAAATCCAATAAAAGAGTCAATAATAAAACCTATGGCATAAGATGCCTATATTCAAATGTACAAAGTACAGCAAATCAATAAGAGGGACTAGTGATTCTAATTCAAGTAAGAAAATTCAACTCATCACCAAGAATTGGTGAAATGAGACCTATAAACTAGAATATGGATCTGGATGGTTATATTTTATTCAGAAGAAAAAAAGGGCAAGTAGTAGAATGAATATTAAAAAAGTACACTCATGAATAAGCCCAGGAACAACAGGAGGGAAACATCAATTAATCAATCAACAAGCCTTTATTAAGTGTATATTTTTGCCAGGCTTTGCTCTATGAGCTGGATGTAAAGACAAAAATGAAATAGTCCCTGCTCTCAAGGAGCTGACATTCTACTGGGAGAGACAACATATACATATATAGACAGATATAAAACAAATAAATAATAATTTTTGGAGGGGGGTAAGGGGAGAAGTGAGAAGACAGTAGTAACTGCAGAATCAGCAAATGATCAGTAAGCTAAGCACTAAAGAAACCAAGTATTCTAAGAGGCAGAAATGAGAGAGTAGATGCCAGGCACAGAGGTCAGTCAGTGAAAAGGAATGAAAATGGGTGACGGTATATTATATGTGTGGAAAAGTAAACAGGTCGCTTTAGTTGAACCAACTAGTATGTGAAAGAGAGTCAAATATAAGGCTGGAAAGGTAGGCTAAAGCCATGTTTTGAAGGGCTTTAAATGCCAAACAAAGGATTTAATATTTGAATGTAAATATAACTGGGAACCACCAGAGTTTGAGTCCAGAGAAATAACATGGTCAGACCTGTACTTTATTTTATTTTATTTTTTGGCTAGGCAATGAGGTTAAGTGACTTGCCCAGGGTCACACAGCTATTAAGTGTCAAGTGTCTGAGGCCAGATTTGAACTCAGGTCCTCCTGACTCTAGGGCCTGTGCTCTGTCCATTGTGCCAACTAGCTGCCCCTATACCTGTACTTTAGGATATTTTCTTTAACGGTTCTGTTAAGGAGAGACACTTGAAATGGGACCAATCTGGAGGATACAGGACCAGTCTAGACAAACTGGTGATGGGGGGGGGTACTATGTGAACAGAAAGACTGGGACAAAAGCAAGAAATGTTATACAAGTGGAATACGCAAGACATGGCAACTGATTGGATATTTAGGGTGAAGAAAACTTGTAAGTTGAAAATGATTTCAATGTTGTGAACCTAGGTGAGTGAAAGGACAGTCGTTCTCTTAACAAAATTAGAGAAGTTCAGAAAAGGAGTGGATTCTATTAGGTCTGTATCCCAAAGAAATCATAAAAAATGGAAAAGAACCTACATACAAAACTATTTATAGCAGCTCTTTTTGTGGTGGCAAAGAACTGGAAATTGAAGGGGATGCCCATCAATTGGGAAATGGCTGAACAAGTTGTGGTATATGAATGTAATGAAATACTATTGTGCTATAAGAAATGATGAGCATGTGGGTTTCAGAAAAACCGGGAAAGACTTACATGAACTGATGCAAAGTGAAGTGAACAGAACCAGACCATTTTACACAGTAACAGTAACATTGTTCGATTATTAACTTTGACAGACTTGGCTCTTCTCAGCAATACAATGATCTAAGACAATTCCAAAAGACTCATGATGGAAAATGCTATCCACATCCAGGGAAACAACTATGGAGTGTGAATGCAGATCGAACTATACTATTTTCTCTCTTTTTTTCCCTTTTGTTTTGATTCTTCTTTCACAACATGACTAATGTGGAAATATGATGATTTTAATTGTACATGTATAACCTATATCAGATTGCTTGCTGTCTTGGGGAGGGGGGAGGAAAGGGAAGGATAAAAAAATTTGAAACTCAAAATCTTATAAAAGTGAATGTTGAAAACTATCTTTATGTGTAATTGGAAAAAATAAAATACTATTAAGTGGGGGAGAAAAAGAAAGAAAAGGAGTTTTGTTTGGGGAATGTTGAGTTTGAGGATATCCATTTTGGAATGTCCAATAGGCAATTGGTGATGAGGGATTAAAATTCAAGAGAGGGACTAGGGCCAGATATATAAATCTGGCTGTCATCTGCTACAGTGTGGTCATAAAGGATGAGGATTGAGAAAAAGCCAATAAACTTGGCAATTAAGAGATCATAGTAACCGTGGAGAGAGCAGTTTCAGTTGAGTGAAGAACTATAAAAACATGAAAGATCAGAAAATGAGGTGGGCTGGACATGTAATAAGAATGAGAAGCAAGAGACGAACAAGCAAGAGATATCCTGGTAATATTCAAAAACAAAAAGAATTAAAGGAAGACCTCCAACAGGTTGAGGATTTAGAATTAAGTAGCATGGAAGGCTAGAGATTTTCACTGTGTACCTAACCAATGAACTGTGAGGTACACACATCCTCTCTCATTTGGACTAATCCAATAGCTTCCTAATGGATCTTCTTGCTTCATGTATCTCTCTATTTCAATCCTTCCTCTACATCCACCAAAGCGACTTTCCTAAAGCACATTACTCCCTCACTCCATAAATTCCAGTGGCTTCTATTGCTTCCAGGATCTCCTCTACTTGGTATGGTCCATTTCTTGTTACTCAACAAGAGAGTTAGACTAGATTGGGGATTCTTAACCTGGGTTCACGAATTTGTTTTTAAAAATTAATTTTATAATTGTATTTCAATACAATTGTTTTCTTTTGTAATTTTATTCATTTAAAAATTATATGGAGAAAGGTCCATAGGCTTCACCAAACTGTCAAAGGAGTCCATGACACAAAAAAGGTTAAAAACCTCTGGACTAGATGACTTCAAGGTCCCCTTCTACCCTTAAATCTTACAAAATTACACATCCTGTGAAGGATCTATAATTTTAAAGATGTGGATATTCCCACGTAGACTACAGAAAGCTAAAACGAGAAGGGACCTTACAGATCATCTGGTTCAATCTCTTCATTTTATGGGGGAAAAAAAGAGGTCCAGAGAAGATAAGGAGGCAGCTAGATAGCTCAGTGGATAGAGCACTAAGTCTGGAGTCAGGAAGATCCAGTTCAAATCTGGACTCAGACACTAGCTGTGTGACCTTGGGCAAGTCACTTAACCTCTGTTTGCCTTAATCCACTGGAGAAGGAAATGGCAAACCACTTCAGTATCTTTGCCAAGAAAACCCCATGGACAGTACTGATGTGATAAGGTTCATGGGGTCATGAAGAGCCAGACATAATTAAATGACTGAACAACAAGAGGAAATAAATGACTTCCCTAATGTTGCATAGGTAGTATGTAACCCTCCACAGGTAACATTTGAACCTAGATATGCTGACTCCAAATCTAGTGATTTCTATCACACCATTCTCTCTCAAAGTATGGCTGTAGGGATAGGGAGGGGGAGAAGAGTGAGCTGTTCTTTACTGAGAAAATCAAATATAAACCTGCCATCAAAACATGATCATACCAGATCTAATAAGTGCATGTCACTATTCCGCACATCTTTTCCAGGGCTAAGGAGAAGGCCAAAACATCTGCAAAAAATAAGTAGCAATATTAACTTGGAAAAAGAAAACCACATGTAGTAAATAAAGTTTTAAATACAAAGCAACTGGTCAATTTATGATACTCTGATTGAAAATTTGAAGTTTATTAAAACTGTCAGTCAATTTCCTAATATCCTTTCATAGATGTCTTCCTCAAATATGTCACCTGGACATGCAGGTGATCCAGGGTTTTCAAAGGCTATGCCTAGCAGAGTGAAAGGTATGGTAGGGACAATTAAGTTAAAAATACTTTTAGGACAGGGTTATCAATAGATAATGTATCACTCAAGGACCAGGCAAGTGAAATGCAGAGTGATTCATCACCAAAGACTTTGCTATAAGTTGAATATTTTGACAATAAATCACCTAGACCATACACTAAGGCATGGAAGGGCAGCAGTCAATATTGGTAGAAAGGATACCCAAACTAACAAAATTGCAGATTCCTAAAATGTTTAATATTTCTAATCTCACATATTTATGATTGGCAAAAATATAACCCTTGTTTCTCAATGAAAAAAAAAAATAAACAAGTACCATAAAACTGAAAAATAAGGCCACATTTTATTTAGTAAGATTATTTCTCTGGCAAACATGCCAGGGCAAAATCCAGGGGAAATACTGCAGATTGAAAAGAGTTACTACAGTATTAAAAAACTGTCAACATTTCAAGTAGAACAATTAATTTTATATCCTCGCTATCTCCCCACCAGTTCATAGAACAGTGTGCACTACCTAAGGCAGTTGTTTTTTATGTGTTTGTTGAATGGCCAAATGAGACAAAGATGCAATGATGGCTTTAAAAACAAAATGGGAATTTTTACTCTCCATTAAATGCTTTAAAAAATCTCAAATGATCCTGAAGTTTCAAGCTTTTGAAAATGCTTACCTTTCAATGATAAGCTCTTTGTTACTTGTTTGTTGGACATAAATGACAATCTTCTTATCAATTCCCTGTCGAAGTTTGAAGCATTGCCTGTCCTTGTCTTTAGGAACTGCACTATAAACCCCCCCCCCAAAAAGGCTTCATTAATTTAAATTAAAAAATACGAGCTTATTATTAAACAACTAAGTAAACTTGCTTTCAAATTTACATGCTATTTCACACTTTATATTCCTCATACCTGGCAATCATAATTGCATTATGGCATTATTATAAAATTATACTAACACAATTTATTTAACTATTGCCCTATTTTCAGACATTTAGGTTGCTTCCAGTTTTTTGCAATCACAAATAATGCTGCTATGAAAATATCTGGATAGCTGTCATTTTGTTTGTCTTTGTTAACATTTTCAAGGTATATTTTTAATATCAGGGCAAAAGGAATGATTATTTTTATTAACATGTACTGTGAAAAGTGCTTTCCAAAGAGTCTACAAAGTTTGCAATTCTACCAGCAATAACTGAGTGTGCTTCTTTCTCCACAATCCAAAAGCAAAGAGTTTGAATGCTTTTGATTATTTTTGCCAATTTGATGGGTATGAGGATTTAAATTTAAGTAATGAAATTTAATTGCTTTCAAAGTTGATTTAATTTGTATGTCTTCAATAATCATGAAGTTGTGCACTTCTTCCAGTAACTAATAAACTTGTGTTTCTTCTTTTGAAAATTGTCTTATTGCTTTTATTAATTTTGAATAGTTTTCTTACATAATATATATTATATAATACGCAATACATTATATAACATATAGTTATATAATGTATATTATGTAGCATAACTTTTTAAAAAAGACTTCAAACTTTAAATCTTTGTGCTTTCTTTTTCTTCCTTAGAAAAAATAATGAAACTCTGAAGGGATCTCGTCTTTGTATCACTGTTATGGTAGCAAAATACAACATGAAATTTCTACTAGAATCCCAGGGTGGTATAGTGGGGAAAAAATGTTGGATTTGGAGTCAAAGGATCTATGTGGTCATGAGTAAGTCATTAACCTCTTTGGGATTTAGGTTCCTATAAAATGAGAGGAGTGGATGGATTCAGTGATCTCTAGGGTAGCTAACATCTCTAAATTTGTGATCCTACCATTTATGATTTTAGAGTTGTAAATCAGCTTAGAGATCATTTGCTCCAATGCTCTCATGTTACAAATGCAACTGAGACTCAAGAGAAGGTAAATGACTTGTCCAAGATCAAAGATGTAATAAATGGGAGAGCTAGGATTTGAAATAAGCTCCTGATTCTAAAATTACTACTTTTTCTATTATATAATACTGTACTTAAAATAGTTTTAGATTACAAAATTAATTAATCCTAAAAAGGAACCAATAATATAGCTTAAGATGGATTGTTAAACTGGGCTCAAGTTCTGTACCAGGGAACACTCACCCTAAGCCCTAAAAAGGTTAAAAAAAAAAAAAAGTAGCTGTGATCATTATTTCTTTTTCTAAGTTTCATTTGTTCAACAGAATAAATGACATAAGCAAAAAAAACTATTAGAGTTATTAGAACATGGCACATTATTTCTTCAGGAGAAGGATTGCAGTGAATAATTTAAAAGCATGTGATTCAGAAGGCACACTGATTTGAGTTTAATAGTGAAATCAACCTTGGAGAAGAGACACACCATCATATTTTATAAATTTTTTATGAACCAAATAATTAACTCCCTATTCTTGTATTATAATAATATTAAGATAATCCTCCATTAAAGTCCTGCTCCAACACATGATCCTGGCATGGAGGGCCTGTGTTAGTACAGAAAGCTAATAAGTAACAGTAGAACCTAAACCTGGCAATACACTAGCGTCTGTTGTCAGAAGTTTGATTTAGCTAAATTAGGAGAGGTTCATCACCTGATGGCTGGCTATCATGTAATGAATTTTTATTTGGGCCACAATACATTATAAAGGCTATCTACTGAGGCATGATTAATTTGCATCAGTAGAGACCCCATCCAGGAAGTTGAAAATCTTTTGCAGTATGACTACAGCATTCTCTACTTAACTCGAGTATGGAGATGATAAAAGGTTTTCAAAAGCTATACAGCAGCATAGTTAACATTCTGGTAGGTCTCATCAAGCTACAAAAGCTCTGTGGGTCATGCAACAGATTGTCATGTTAGAACCAGCTTAGTTAAGTTCAGAGACACATAACAAAAAAGATTGTCACCTGGTAATGAAGTTGGTAATATGGGCAACTCATGAAACTATCGAGTAAGACACTGTTAGGGAGCAACTATCCACAAAGATAAAATTAACGATCTTTAGAACTACTAAAGTAATAAGTTATACTTCCACGACATTTTTCTGTCACAGTGCTTTTATATTCATAATTTCATTTGATCTTCACAACAGCTTTGTGAAGCAGTTAGTATATTTGATAAATGAAGAATCTGAGCCTTGACAGATTACAGGATCATGGATTTAGAGCTGAAACGGACTGAAGAGGGCATCTAGTCCAACCCGTAACTGAGCCCTAGATATGAAGTGCCTTGCCCAAGGTTCATATAGCAAGTCAGGCTTTGAACAAAAGTTCACTAAATCTGTGTTTCCCCCCCACCCCATTATACCAAGATGACTCAGGTTCATATATTACAGAGGTGAATACAAATGACATTTTTCTCTGTTACTGAGAAGGAATAGAAAGAATTCTTTTTTTTTCTTTTGAATGCTGATCTTTTAATAGAACAGAAGAATTTTTGAGTTAGAAGGGACTTTGAATATTTGCTTAAGTTCACATACAATGATTAACTGGAGAGGGAAGCCTGAATTCCAAGTAGTTTAACTGTAAGACAGTGAGGTTCTTTACCTGGAGTCTCAGAACTTAAAAAAATACATTGATAACTATATTTCAATATAATTGGTTTACTTTGTAATCTTAAGTATTTTATTTTATGCATTTGAAAACATTATTCTGAAATGAGGTCCTTAGGCTTCCCTAGACTGTGAAAGGGGTGTATGATACAAAAAAGGTTAAAAATATCTGTTCTAAGCCTAGTGACCTCACAACTATATCATTCTACATTAAAACTGAAAAGAATTGGAGATTTTATAATTACCTTTTGGTATTTTAATGACTCCTTAAATAAAGACAATGAACTTACGATTATGATTAGCAATTAGATCAACAGTCATGCTAAACTCTTAGAAGCTTTTATATATACATGTAAGATGTGAACTTACCACAAAAATTTATCCTACATATTTGTAATCATAATTACAACTGAGTTAATATTAAAACTATATTTAAGAAAATATTAGATCATGAGAAAACTTCTATATATTATTTTAAAACCCATAAAAACAAAACAGGCCACTAAACCCACACAAGTACTTCTGGTTGCTTTGATCTTTAAGAAGAACACCTATCTGTGTCCAGGTCTCAATATATCCTTTAAATCTAAAATAAATATGGCTACTGTGCAACTCTAGGCAAAAACAACACAACTATTAGATATTATAAATGGTTACACAGAAGTTCTGAAGATCATGATGTATAAAAAAGTATCTGTGAAGAATTAAAATTATATAATTTGGGTTCAAGAGCATATAAATATCAACTACTACAAGAATATTATAAAATTTAAGATTCTAATTCTTCCACAAAAAAATCACCCTCCTGTGCCTTATTTATTACAGCATGGAAGTTATCTTGGGTTTTAAAAAAACTATGTCAGTGGACTATAAACTCTGGCAAATTCTACCAAGTTAGAAAGGCTCTGCATCCGTCATTTGGGGACTGGCCTTACTAAGTGCAGAGATGTTCCCCACCAGGATGGCCACCAGATGATGAGCTTTTCAGGTCACTTCTATAAATTATCACTTCAAGCATGAGTGTGTACTGGTTTAGAGCATATTCAGGTTAATGCGATCATAGCATAACATCTGTACTAGAAAACTGAGGGGTACAACTCAGCCAAGGTTAGAAGAGACAAATATTTGTAAATATCACTTTGACATTGAAAACTGTGAAATTTAAAAGGCTGATGGAGGAGGCAGTAATGTCTAACGGGAATGGTAGACCGAACTGCTGAGTGTTTGAGATAGCCATCTAGTCTGGGTACATAAAGGTTTCTTTGGGAATTATGGGAACGAAACTATTTTAATAGCATGCTCAAGACCTTATCTTGAGAGATTTTTGAGGCTTATAAGAAACTTCTAATGCCTTAGGCTTTACAGAAAGAGGCCAGACTTATACAAGTATCGTCAGTTAAATTCTAAAAAATTATCTTAAGGTTTAAAGACATGACCCTATGAAAACAGTTCAAAAAGTCCAAATCTTTTTTGTAAACTGACAGAACATTTTCTGTTTTACCAAATAGGTGCACATTAAATAAAAGCACAACCCATTTTCAAAGTTTTCTGGTGAACTGGCCAGCAGAGGGGGCTGTAATGCCAATTTCTTAATATGTGAACTTACCATGCAACATTAAAAAAAAAACAAAACCAAAAACCAAGAAACAAAATCACCATCCTTTTATTCTTCACTCATCATTTTGTGAAGAGGTTAAGAAGGCAACATAATGCAGCCCAACAGATTTGGAGAAAGAGACTATTTGGGTTCCAACAGCTATGGGGCACTCAGCAAGACATTAAGCTTTAAAATCTCTGTTTCCTTATTTGTAAAATGTAAAAACACAAGGCTGTTGAGAGGAAACTTTTTTTTTTTAAGAATAAAAGTGGTAAAACAAATAAGTTGTTTTTAATATCCTTTTAATACTACTATTTTCCTCTGAAGATTGGTTACTTCAAGGCAATGATTTACCAAGCTAGGAATGCTTCAAATGAAGCCCTGATAATAGACATGTGTCTGTCACTTGAGGAACAGTCCAGAGAAGTTGGTATCACGTAGTATCAACTGGCATACTGGCCACAAGACAATACATTCACTAAGAGCATCCACTAAGATTTCAAGGGCTTGCAATTTGCATCAATGAAAGAACTATCTACACCAATGAAATTATAGATCCCTGAAAAATCAAAGTATTTTTGCTGTTATATAATATAACCAAGAATTTTATGATAAGCTGAAGGGACCAACTATAGGCAAGAACCAATTGTTGACTATGAACTATGAATAGTATTTATAAAATATGAATAGTATTTATAAAAATAGCAGCTAACATTTATGTTTTTTAACACAAAGAGCTATTTATGTTTAATAACCCTCTGAGTGTAATTATTTCCATTTTACAAATGAGGAAACTGAGGCTCAGAAAGGAGAAACGAGTTGCCCAAGATTACAGAGCTAGGACCCCACTGTTGGCTTTATGACTATTAGTCTAGTGCTTCTTTTACTTCCTGGAGTAAAAATGTTTGCCCTGGAAGGTATATTGACTAAAAAGGAGATAAAGTCATTACTACCCCCAATGAAGGGCACAACCTTCAGACAAAACCCACATTTCTCTTTCTCCAGTTTGTTCAGATAGTGTTATTTATAATTTATTTATAATTAGGACCCATGATTTCATTAGTGAGGGCAATTCCCTTGTATAGGAACTCCCTCCATGGATGAAGAATGGCAATTCATCTTTAATTTATAGTATTGGAAAGTTGCTAGGGGGCACTGAGAGGTTAAGTAATTTGTCCAGGAACACACAAGTGAGGTTTGGTCCTTTAGACAGTAGGTCACATTGCCTCTCTGCTTTAATCAGCAAACTCGATTTCAGTTGTAAGAGGCAGTTTATGCTATAGCAAGTCAAACAAATACACAAATCTGCTGTCTTAGCTTCCACGTATTTCAGGATACAAGTCAACTATATATTGTTTAATCTGGCTTAAAAAGATAATGGTACCAAATAGATAATTTTTGTTCCAGGGAAGAATGTTCTGTGATTATTTTCCTTTGATACTTTCAGTTAGATAAATCTTTAAATTGTACCTTTTAAAAGTAGCCCAAAACACTCCCTTGAAATAAAAAAACAATTCTAACAAAACAGACATTTATTTCATAGAACTCATTTATATGACTAAACATTTTGTTTGTTTTACTACCAAACATTGATCATATTAATATAGACTCATAGCAAATGAATGAAAGGATATTCTCTACCTAAAGTAACCTTTACCATCATCTTCTTTTATTTCTAAAGACACGGAGAAGGTGAAGATGTCACTGTCAGGAGTCTGAGGTGCAGCAGTGGCAGAAAGCGGGGTCTGTTTGGCAGAACGGCGGAAGGCAGTGGCAAAACTGTAGAGAATTCGACTTACCTGAAGTCACAAAGAACCAGAGAGGTTAGGGTGGAAGCTTCTAAAGAAACTAGCAAATACATTTCTACAATGGGAAGGCTATTGTTTCTTTCTCCTACAAAGTGAGGGAAAAGAGTCTGGGACCTATGATTGCTGGCACATAGCATGCTAATGAGGCACTTCACATTTTCTCTGGGCATTTACAATTGTTTCTCCTTTCTCTGGTAACACCCATTTTTAAAGTTTTCAAATGAGATTAAAATCTTATCCAGAAAGGGCATTTAAGAAGAGAGAGGCAGTCGGAAAAATCTGAATTACAGAATGTGGAAAAGTTCAAGTTGAAAGTAATTTTGTAAGGTCTCTAGTCCCGGAGCTTCAACATCATAATAATAATAACCCTTTGAAAGCTGTGGCCAGCGAGATCTCAGGGAGTCATCTGACAGATTCTTAGGGAAAACCCCCCCCAACAAAAAACTTATCTAATTAGGTAGCACACAAAGACTGATGGACTATTAGGACCAAACCAGCCACCTGCTATGATAATTGTGGAACTGACTGTTGCTGGGTATCACGTGAATAGACTTCTATCAATTAGGAATTGTAACAGAAGTAGAAAATAATTATAAAATTAAATCAAAGGATTAGGGATGGAAGGGTCTTTAGAGAGTCTCTAATTCCACTTCCTTACAGAGCACTAGAGGGTCTTCTGGGACTCAACTAGAGAGGTTCTAAAACTCCAAATCCAGTGTCCCAGGACACAAGAATTCCCATGGGCCTCCCTCCATACTATTTCTAATGATGCAGTTCACTAATGAAAAAATTCGGGATACCCTGCTCTAGCCTGACACCCTTCATTTTACAGATGAGGCAAATGAAGCACAGAAGAGTTAAAATTACTGACGATCATACAGCTAGTAAATGGTAGAGCAAAGAACTAGTATTACCTAACTTTCATTCCATTGTTCGTTCTACTATCCCCATCTTATATTAACATAAAGCAGAACACCTGCATCAGTCAGCCAAATGTCAAAACTGGCATTCATAATCAAAGCAGGCTGTGTCACTTGAGGCCACCAGGTGACATAATGGATAGAATGCTAGACTTGGAGTAAGAAAAGCCAAAGTGTGAATCCTTCCTCAGACATTTACTAGCTGTGTGATTTTGGGCAAGTCACTAAATTTCACTCAGCCTTAGTTTCTTCATTCATAAAATGGAGATAATACCTCAGAAGATTACCGTAAAAGTATGAGATAAAGTGCTTAGCAAACCTGAAACTGCTATGTAAATGTTATTATCACTTAGTATTAACACTGTTATTACTATAAAATACTACCTCTTGTCTCCACTGAAGATTCAGTATAACTGATTACATTGCCAGCATTCTAGCCAAATCCTTTCTATGTATACCTTTTCTTGGTTTAGGAAAATTTTTGTTCCTTTGATCAGCTCAAGGTATGAGAAACTTTTAGTTTTAATATTTCTATCCATGAACAGAAACATATAATAGGAATAACATTCAACACTAACTAGCTTCAGAAATATTAAGAAATGCCATAAAGAGGAATTTCTAACAACTTACATAGTAAAAACTCAATTAGCCAGAATGTTCCATTAATTGTACTTTTACAGGGTTGGAAACCCTTTTAGTTACGTGTTAAATATGTATTTCAATAAAACTAAATTGTTGAATTAAATGGAAAACCTTTTCCTTAATGCTTGCTGGATAACTTGCAAAATTCTGCCACAACATTCTTCTGCTTCGGTAGAATTCAATAAACATACATTTCTTGAGGGCAAAGATTAAGTCCCCTGCCTTTCACATCCTTACTGCCTGCCATAGCACATGAACGTATGTGCTTAATAAATGTTTGTGGTTGAACAGTGTAGTGCAGGGGAAGGGTATTGGGAGTTAGAAGACCTGGGTTCAAAAATCAGCTCTGCTACTTACTGCTTATGTGGTGATGGGCAAGTCACATGGTATCTTCATTTGTAAAAAGAGAGGCTTGGACTAGATGATCTTTAAAAGTCATCCAATTCTAAATCTGTGTACACAGGATGTTCCTTTGATGACCCTGAAGGTCGTCATTCTGAACACCAGTTACTCATTACATAGTAGAGGCAGGGGATTCGCCTGATTTCATTGACATGGGATTCTTGGAGGAGTCAACCAATGCAGATCAGTACCTTCTCTGCAACTTGTGGTTTTAGAGTTACCCAGAGAGCTGAGAGGCGAAGTGACTTGTCCATCACCTAAGCAGTAAGTAGCAGACCTGGGATCTGAACTCAGATCTTCCTGGTTCTGAAGTCGGCTTGGTTTCTGCTATGCCAAGCTGCCTCTCTCAATGTAGAGTACTGCTGATAAAATAACCACCTTAAACTTGTACAGGTGGTAAACTATCTGGTGATAGCACTGAATCAATCAAAATATGATTATTTAGCATATATATGGGGTTTTTACATTATCACATTTGATTCTCTTTGCAAATTTATAAGACTAGCAAGTATCTTTATCCTTATATTTTAAAAATGATTGTGAGCTTCTTGAGGGTAGGGACTGGCTCATTTTTTTTGGCTTTTGTATTCTCCAGTGCCTAGCACATATTATTATTCACTTAATAAATACTTTATTAAGGAGGAAAGTGAGAATCAGAAAGACTAAGAGTAAATGACTTACTCAAAGTCAAGTAGCTACCAAGTGGTAGAGCAGACATGTTAGAACCTGGGGTTTCAGAGTCCAAGGTTCTTTATATACTGCACTACACTGTAGAAAGTGATGAATCATCATATATTGTTAGAGCTAGGAACTGGGGCAGCTAGGTGGCACAGTGGATAGAGCACTGGCCCTGGAGTCAGGAGGACCTGAGTTCAAATCCGGTCTCAGACCAGACACTTTACACTAGCTGTGCGTCTCTGGCCAAGTCACCTAACCCCAACTGCCATGCCAAAAAAAAAACAAAAAAAAAAAACAAATAGAGCTAGGAACTATCTGCAGAAAAATGCATTTTAGAACATACAGTGTGGAATGTTGGATGTGAAAGGTCCTTCCCTAGACTGTGCAATGACACAACATAGGACATTAGAGGAGGAGAAGACCCTCAGACATAGCCTGTTAGAACCAGAAAGTGCTACAGAGATCACTTTGTCCAACTTCTTCATTCTGCATATGTGGAGACTTGTGATCTGGGCAGAGAGGAATCAGTAACAAACCCAGGATGGACCTAGATAGTTGTTTTAAAAAAATAACTCTGACATGACCTTGTTTTCATGTACTTGACTTTTCTCTCCTAAAAGCTTAGTTAGAAAAGAAAAATAAAAGCCAGGTAATTGGGAAGTAGGGTGTGTGTGTTGGAGTTTGGTTAATCATAACTTCACTCTATCTTTTTCTAGTCTTAACAGACAGTAGTAATCAGTGAGCACAAGCTCAAATCACAGTTCATTTGAATATAAGCGAGAATTTTATTATTTCTAGAAATTCTGGAAGGTCATCTAAAATTCCTCAGAGAAAAGCCTTTCAGTTGCAGAGGCAGCTGTCTTAGAGACTTACAGCTTCTTGTATCTCACACCGGAAGACGTGTATTCTGAAGAGTTCGGCATTGTAGTGACTTTCAGTGAAAGCAAAGCAGTCGCTTTCTGGAGTGCCATCATGCCCTCTAACACAGAAGAGGATTTTATAGATGGGGTAGTTTGCAATCTCTGTATTCGTTTGAGGATCCAAAAGTCTGTTTTATGACATAAAAAAATTAGAGGAAAAGATCAGAATGTTTAAAAAAATTCTATAATTTTATTGTGTGTGTATGAATTTCAAGATACATTTCAAACAATCAATATCATATGACCTGCTGTATTACCACCATATTTATTTTTAGTCTCTCTACATAAAAGCCGTATGTGGACTCCTGAAGGTACTGTTAATAGGGAGACAGCATAGTGTGATGTAGTTTTAGACTCGAAGTCAAGAGACCTTGGTTTGAATATTTTTATGATATTTACTAGCTATGTGATCCTAGACAGGTTACTTACACTGAAAAATTACTACAGAAATTGATTTTTTTAAATATTCTAAACAAATTGTGATTTTACTCCCTGCACATACTTCTCATTACTCTTCTAGTAGACAATTAAGAGAGTTCAGCTGTGTCAAAAAAAAAAAATATACCCCTTGGTAATATCAACAAAAATTTATTAAGTGCCTACTCTGTGCCAGGTGCTGGGGAAATAAGAAATAATGATAATAATAATAATAATAATAATAATGATAGCTAACATTTATACAGTGCTTTAAGGTTTGTTAAGTGCTTTACAAATATATTATTTTGTCTTCATAGCATCCCTGGAAGGCAGGTGCTATTATTATTCCCATTTTACAAATGAAGTAACTGAGGCAGACAGAGGTTAAGTATCTTGCCCAGGATAATATGGCTATTAGGTATCCGAGGTAGAATTTGAAACCAAATCTTTTTGACTCTAAGTCCAGTGCTCTGTGCTACGTGGCTGCCTATATGAAAAACATGAAAAAAAAAAATCCTGTTCTAAAGTTTATATTTTGAGAAGGCAAGTACATACATAAGTATATACAGAATAAATATAAAACAAACAGAAGGCAACTATAGAGAGGGGAGATATGAGTAGTTGGGAATGAGGAAAGGTTTTGTGTAGAAGGTGGTATTCAAGCTTCCTCTTGAAGAAAATGACAGATTCTATGATTCAGGGGTGAGGAAGCCTATTTCAGGTATCAGGGATGGCAAGTGCAAAGTCACAGAAAATAAGATGGAGTGCTATGTGTGAGAGGTAGTGAGGTGGCCAGTTTGACTAGACCCATATAGCATGTGGGAAGGAGAAAAATGTATAATGAGGCTGGAAATGTAGGTTGGGGTCAGGTTGCAAAGGATTTTCAAACAAACTGTAAAATTTGTATTGGATCCTAGAAGCAATAGGGAGTCACTGGAATTTAATGAATAGAAGAGTAGCACTGTCAGAAGAATGCTTAAGGCACTTTGCCTTTTAAGCTATGTGGAAAAGGTAATAGAATGGGAAAAGACTTGAGGCAGAGTGGCTTGTGTGAGGAAAGAGAAGGGGTTATTGAGAGATGGTGTGACAGTTGAAATGACATTGTCAGTCAGCGACAGAATCCATATCACACCCTCTAATTGTGGGTGCTCCCCAAGGTTCTGTCCTAGCTTCTCTTCTTTCTCTACATTATCTCTTGGTAATCTCAACAGCTCCCAGGGGTGTTCAAATGACTCTCAAATCCCTATCTCTAGCCCTGGGTTTTGCCCGAAACTTTCAGTTCCACACCAACAAATGACAACTGGATATTTCAAACTGGATGTCTCAGAGACATCTTAAAGTCAGTATGTCTAAAATTGAACTTATTCTCTTAACTGATAAATCTTTTCCTGTTCCAAACTTCAATATTTCTGTCAAAGACACTTCCATCCTTTTAGTGTCTCAGATTTATAATCTTGCTATTATTTTTAACTCCTTATTCTCCCTCATTTCACATACACAATCTGCTACCAAATCTTGTCATTTCTATCTTCACAATCTCTCTCACTTCTGACCCTTTTCTTTAAACGCAGCTACCACACCTTAAGTTCAGGTCATCACCTTTCACCTAGATTATTGCAAAAGCCTCCTAATTGGTCTCCCTGACTCATGTGTCTTATTCTTCCAATCCATCCTTCACATTGTTGCCAATATAATTTTCTTTTAAGTGAATATCTGACAGTGACTACTCTACTGAATCAATTCCATTGGCTTCCTATTATTGCTTCGAGGATCAAATATATTTCCTCGGTTCAGCTTTTAAAGCCTTATACAACCCTGGCCCCAACCTATCTTTCCAGACTCATTTTGACATTTCTCAGCCTCCAGTACTTGGCTTTCTCTCTGTTCCTCTCCCACAACCCTCTGATGTGGTTTAGGGGTTCAAGGGTCCTGGGATCCCAAAATCACAACATGCAGGTCCTGCCTGAAAGAATTCGACCCAAGCCAGTTCTTTCAGCCAAAGACATGGTTTATTAGAACATCCATCATATTGGGCAGACTTTTAAGGAGTCTGAACATTAGTAAGCTATTGGCTAGATTATAAGAATCTGACCATTGGCTAGATTTTAAGAATCTCAGCAACGGCTAGATTATATGAATCTCAGCATCTTAATGGAGACAAGATGGACCTTATATACAGAAAGGCTATGGGAGGGATCTAGGAGTGGCCAAGTAGTCTATGAGGTAATAGAATTCCAGGAACCTGGACCACGTGGCCAAGAGAGAATGGAGAAACGGCCTAGGGCCATAGGGAGGTCCACAATGAAAGGCCAGTTGATGGGATTATGGCCTCAGGGGAATGCCAGAGATTTGGCCATGTGGGGAAGTCCAGGGTTTTTCCTTCCAGGGGCCCAGATCCCAACCCCATCACCTCCATTTCCTATCTCTGAGCCTTTGTCCTGGCTGGAATGCACTTCTTCCTCACATCTGCTTCAGAAATTCCCTTGTTCTTCCCTTAGGAGGCAGCTCAAGGGCCACCTTCATGTCAAAAACCTTTCTTGATCTCCTTAACTCCCTCCCAATCTACACTGTATTTATTTAGTCTATTCTGAGAAGGTTACTAGTGGCTTTACCAGACTACCATGACACATGTCCATGACATTAAAAAAAGGTTAAAAATCCCAGAGCTTTGCTATGAAGCACCAGGGTAGGATTTCATTGTAAATTATTATAAAATAAAAATAACACCTTTCATGTATGTAATTTAAAACTTATAAATGTCATAACTGTCAATAAAAAAAGCAAAGAAAATGCTTCTGTTCTGTGACACCTTCCATATCTGCCTGTAGTGATACTGTCTCTGGCTTTGCATTCATTTTCCCTTTTTTCCTTACATTGTTGTAGTCAAAGTGTATATAGCTCTGGTTCTATTGATTTTGTTTTGCATCATTTCAATTAAGCCTTTTCATATTTTTATGTTTCATATCATTTTTTACAGTATAAAAATTATATCATACATATAAACCATTGTTCATTCAGTAATTCCCTAGTAGATTCCATCCTTACGACCTTTAAACATGTCCAAGTCTTCCCCTAGCCTTAAAAATCTTCAATAGATCCTACCATTCCCTCAAACTAGCATCCTGTATCTCTAACTTCTTTCTCAACCAAACTCATGGAAAAAAGCTGTCCACATTCACTGCCTCTGCTTCTTCTCCTCTTCCTAACTCCTCAACTTTTTGCATTCTAGCTTCTGACCTCATCACTCAATTGAAACTGCTCTTTCTTATGTTATCAACAATTTCTTAATGGACATATCTGACGGCCTTTTAAAAAGTCTTATTCTTTCCTGACCTACCTACTGCATTTAACACTATCGACCAGAATCTCCTCCTAGATCCTTTTCTCCTCTGGGATTTCTTGACACTCATCTCCCAGTTCACTACTCGCCTGTCTGATCAATCACTGCTCAGTCTTCTTTTCTGGCTCACTACCCACAATCACACCTCCTAACTATAGGTGTTCCCCTCAGTTCAGTCCTAGGCTTGATTCTTTTATTCCCTTTTCCTTTTACATTCTTTCTCTTGTTAATCTCATCAGCTCCTATAGGTTCAGTTATTTTCTCTATTTCTCTCACTCAGAGATCTATCTATCTAACCTGTTGCTCCCCTTAGCACTAATCTCATGAGCATTGTCAACTGCTTATTTGACATTTTTAAATGGATGTCCTGAAGACATCTTAAATTTGACAGATCCAAAACAGTTCATTATATTTGCCCCAAAATGTACCCCTCTTCAAAACTCTCTTCTTTTTGTAGCACAACTATTCCATTTTTCCAGGTTAATAACCGTGGCTTCATCCTCAAATTATAATTCTTCCTCACTCAAAATATGCAATCAGTAGTCAAATCTTGCCATTTCTACCTCTACAGCATCTGTTACATTCATTCTCTCTATTCACCCTGTTACCATCTTAGTTTAGGTCTTCATCACTTCTCACCTAGATTATTGCAACAACCTCCTAACTGGTCTCCCTGCCTCAAGTTTCTTCCCACTTCCGTCCATCCTTCACACTGCTGCCAAAACTATTTTCTTTAATGGTTGATCTATGTCATTCCCTTACTCAATAAACTTCAATGGCTCTGTACTGCCTCTAGGATCAAATAAAATTTCTGTTTAGCTTTTAAAGCTCTTCACAAACTTGCTCCAACCTATTTTTTAACTTTCATTATACCCCTTCTCCTGCATTCTACAATCTAGCCAAAATGTCTGGTACATAGTAGGCACTTAATAAATGCTCATTGCATTCTTTGTTGAATTGTTTCTCATATGGCACTCCATATCACATTTCTGTGCCCTTTATACTGGCTGTTCCCTATATTTGGCAAGTACCTTTTCTTTACCTCTACCTCACAGAATCTCTTCTTTCAAGATGCAACTCAAGCACCACATTCTACATGAAGCCTTTCAAGATTCTCCACAACTTCTAGTGCTCTCCCTCTCAACCTATGTTTCATTTAACTATTTTGTACTTATTCTCTTTATGTTTATAATTGTTTTTGCTGTCTTCCTGCGTTAGAAGAATGTAAGCTCCTTCTGAGTAGGAATTGTTTCATTTCTTTGTATTTGTATCCCTAATTCCTAGTAGAATGTCTAGCATATAGGTGCATTTTAAGTTTTTGTCAATTGATTTAAAGTATGTTACTTTAAAAAATCTATTTTTGTGAGGTTT